GCCTTCAGCCGGTGCCTGGTGCGGCTGCTCTCCATGGAGCTGCTCACCGAGGGCGTTCTGGAGGTGCCAGGGGGGGGGAGGGAGGGGGGAGGAGGAGGGGGGAAGGAGGGAGGAAGGATGAGGTTTAGGGGGGACGGAGGAGGAGGAGGACGGATGAGGAGGGAGGACAGGATAATGAGGAGTGAGGGAACAGGAGGATGGAGGAGGAGGAGGAGGGAGGAGGAAGAAGAGGAGGCCACAGCGCCATACCTGACATCCAGCTCCATACCACCCATCGTTTCCCCTAGCGCTGAATTGTTTCCTACCCCGCGGCTCTGGTGCCCTGGAGGACCTTTATCCTGAATGTTGCCCCATTGTGCGATGCGCATTCAGACAAGGGGGCTTTGCGCCTCGGACGAGGAGGACGACGTGGCGGACCCGCGTTGCGCCCATCACACATTAGGAGGGACAGAGCGGACATAAGTAATGGTCCATCCCCAGCAAAGTGTGACAAATACTGGAAGCGGATGGGGGAGACGCACATCCAGAGCCAATGGAAACATACGGGGAATCTTGGGGGATGGATGTCCATTTATTTGTGTGTCCCTGGGCCCATTCAGACACGCCCGCGCCGCGACCCACTCGCGACGCCTGGGCGACTCTGCGTCAATCCAGCTCGGCGCCCGCGGCGGGCCGACCCGCCCAGGCAGCTTGCGAGAACAGGGTCGGCGCCCGCGGCGGGCTGTCTTGCCTTGGCTGTGTTCGAGGGAGCGGCTGCAATCTCGCGCGACGGGCGCGGCGTCGGGGGAGGAGAGGCCATCAAGCCTTGCCTCGCTGTTCTTTTTATTCGCCTCCTGGGAGGCCCTCGGTGCCACCGCTTGATTCGCCTCGAAATTCTGGTCAGAACGCACCCCGGGGGCGGTCCAGGGGGTGTCTCGTGACCTGGTGAGGTGTGCCCTGCTTAGTGGATTTCTGGTTGCCCGTAATGCCCGTCGTTCGGGTTCCCAGGTCCCTGGGGACTTTCTGGTCACGGCTCGGCTGAGACAGCTGTCGCGCCGTCACCGCAAACTGCTGGATGCGCTACGGATTCTTCGTTTACTTGCTGCGGCTCAGCGTGGCCCCCCCCCTTCCCCCTCCGCTTTTGCCTCCCGCCCCCCATGGGTAAGATTTGGAGAGCCGCCCCCCTTTTTTTCCCCCGGGGTCCCCCCCCCGCGAGTCCCCTGCTCCTGCTTTTAGTCGACAGAGGTTTCAACCCTTGTGGGTCTGTTGAGGTCGGCTGATTGGTTTTCCGAGGTATTATGCTCTGCTGTTACAGTTGTCCTGGATCGTTGTGGACGTCGTCTTTCGGCCACTTCAGGATCAGCCATGTTTCCTCACGCTTAGAGAAGTGCCTTGGGGGTCCTGTCTGCTGCCTGCCTTCCTTTCCTTTCCTTTCCTCTCCTTTGCTGCCTGTTCTCCTCCTGTCGTCTCGCCGTCGGCTCGTCCCGTCGCCCGCCGTCGGTCTCCTTCGCCCCCCTCGACTTCGGTTAGCTGCTCTCCGCGGTTCCCTTGGTCCCGCTTCTCCTGCCGCTCTGTCCCCTTGCTCGTCTGCTGCCCCTCTCCTCTTCTCCTGTTCCTACTCTGCTGTTTGCTGTTCCGCCTCCCTGCGTCCTTGTCCCGTGTCCTGCGTGCTCTCTCGCGGCCGGTGGGCGCAGAGAGTGTCGGCTTGCGCGCGCCTGCGCCGCCTCCCCTCCCGCCACCCCACGGCCGCCGCCCCGCCCCACCGCCGCCCCAAGGGCTGAGCCTGGGGAGCAGCTCCCCGATCGAGCCTCCTTCGGCGAGACGACGTTTTTTTGGGGGGGGGAGTTCGAGAGGAGAGCATGGCTTTTGGCTGGCTAGCTGCCTCCGGCAGCCCGTAATCAGCACGCATGCTCGCAAGCGGCATGTGGTGCCTGGGGCGCTCTGCCCACGAGAGCCTCAGGGCCCCACTCCACCGCGCCGGGCCCCCGACGAAGTTCGAGGCACCTGCGGCGCCCCGCCGCTGTCGTTCGCCCTCGCCCCGCCTCCCTGCGCCAGGCTCCCGACGTGGTTCGAGGCACCTGGGTTTGCAGCTTGGCTTCTTTTCGTTGGCGTGTCCTCGTTTTTCCGGGGGGGGATTGGGTTGGGTCTGTCCTTCGGTGAGACGTGCTTGTGGCTCGGTGTCGTGTGAAGTCGGGCACGTCCTTCGACAGGGGGGATATCAAAACTTAGCCAAACATAGTTTGGGGACGAATTTTGAGAATTCTAGAATCAGGTTATTGGCGGGCATTTTGCATGTTTTCGTCCAAAATCCCTGTTGTAGGACATGCCCGACATAATTCTCGTGGAAAGGGTGGCGATTCGGTCAAATCGCGATGGTCCGAGGTTGATGGGGACGCGCGCCGGAAAGGACAGCGGAGTCCTCGTGCAGAGTGCCCGCCGCTGCTCCTCTCTGCTTCTCTTGCCTCTCTCCCTTGTGTTTCCTCCTCCCTTCCCTTGCACGTGCGCGGCGAAGTACTCATCGTCGGCGCACCCCATCACGCGCTTCTTGGCCCCAGGGAGTCCCATCCCAGGCCCCAGTGACAGGGCCCGCATGCCTGCCCCATGCTATCCTGGAGCGCGCTTCGTGGCTCCGTGGGGAATTCCATCAAAGGCCCCAGTGCCAGGGCCTTCGTGTCTTTCCCAAGCCATCCTGGCGCACCACTCGCGCATCGTGGCCCGATAGGGAGCTCCACCGAGGGCACCGTCGCCAGGGCCCGCGTGCCTTCACCACGCCGTTCCAGCGTACCCCATCACGCGTTTCCTGGTTGAAGAAGGAGCTCCACCTAAGGCCCCCCCCTGCCAGGGCCCGCATGCTTCGTTCTTCTCACCATCTCGGTACCCCGCCCACACGCGTCGTGGCTTCATTGGGGGTTCCACCGAAAACGGCTCCCACAACAACGGTACACTCGCCAGGCCAACCTATAGCACGGGTTCATATCGAGTGTGCCTGCATTGGCCCCCCCCCTCCCGCGTGGAGGTGTTCATCGACTGCCTTCAGAACAGCTCGATGGCGTCCAGCATTTGGAAGGCCGCTCGGGGCGGGAATCAGGGGCAACGTTCGGGAAATGTCGGTTCGGGGGGAAAGCATCGACCTGGAGTTGGCGATACATCGCCGATAGATCGGCGATGAGCCCCCGATATCGGATCCACGCCTTCGTGGACGGAAGGGCTATCGTGTTTTTTTGGCGATGAGTTGGCGATCTGGAGGTCGACGCATCCCTCCTGAGCCTATCCCCGTCCCTTGTGGTTTTCGGGCCAGATGTTCGGTTTTTGGGCCATGTTTCGGGTTTCCGGCGGCCGCTCGGGACGATCCGGGCGCCCACGCTCTCGGTGAGGCGCAGCTGCTGGAAAACATCGAGCAGCTGGATAACTGCCGAGATCCGACGGGAACGCCCGAGCACCTCGAACCTCGGCCTATTTTGGCGACTCAGGAGGGTGTGGTTTGCAAGGGGTGTGGTATGCAACCCGCACCGTGGTCGGCGGGTGAGAACCTCGAGCTTGTCGTTTCTCCCTGAGCCTGCCCCCCCGGACGTCGCCCCCGATGGGGGGGGGCAAGCGCCGACTCACGCAGGGGAGATCCACCTCAGGTTGTTGATGATGATGGCAGTGGATAAACGGGGTTGTTCATGATGCTGGTTCAGACGATGAGGATGACGATGGTAATGTCGATGATGAGGGTGATAACGAGGATGCTGCTGCAAATGGTAATGATGTTGCTGGAGTTGTTGACGATGATGGTGCTGATGATGGTGCTGATATGATGCTGCTGCTGCTGCTGCTGATGATGATGATGATGATGATGATGATGATGATGATGATGATGATGATTATGAGGATGATGGTTATGATGATGATGCAGATGATGCTGATTTTGATGCGGATGATGATGATGCTGGTAATGATGATTATGATGATGCTGATGCTGCTACTGATGATGGTGATGATGGTGAGGAGGAGGAAGAGGAGGAGGAATGATGATCATGTCTGCGGAGGAGGATGTTGGTGGATGGGGGCGGATATGAGGATGAGGATGAAGAGGATGAGTAGGAGGAAGAGGAGGAGGAGGAAGAGGAGGGGGAGGAGGAGGAGGAGGAGGAGGAGGAGGAGGAGGAGGAGGGGGAGGAGGAGGAGGGGGAGGATGAGGAAGAGGAGGAGGAGGAGGAGGAGGAGGTGGAGGAGGAGGAGGAGGAGGAGGGTCAGGAGGAGCGCGAGGAGGAACTCGAGGAGGAGGATGATGAGGATGAGGAATAATAATACTAATAATAATGCTAATGATAATCAGACTTACAAGACAAAAAAAGAGGAGGAGGAGGAAGAGGAGGAGGGAGGAGGAGGACGAGGAGTGGAGGACGGGGGCGGGGGCAAGCGAAGGGGCTCGCTGCCACACAGGTGAAGAACTGGCAGACGGAGGTGCCGGGCTGCCGGCTGCTGGCGCAGGGTCCGGAGGCCTGGTGGGTCTTGGGGGGGGGGCGACCGGGTCGGGTCGGACGAGACGAAGGTTTTCCCAAAGAGGGTTTTTTCCCGAAGAGTTTGACGTTGCTCTTCCACTCGACTTGCTGGACTCAAGTTCGATAGGTCGAGGTACATCTGCGTAAGGCTACGTACCTTGAGATACATCGAGGTGCATCCCGAGATAGCTCGATAGCTCCATAAATCTTGAACAATTCGTAGTAGCTCCAGCGCGAGCCTAGGGACAGTAAGAGTCGTCAAGACCTTGATGAGGTTAGGGAAAGTAGGGGTTCCGACATCTTCGGAAAGGGCCTCGGGACGGCCCAAGAAAGAGGGTCCCAAGAGGGCCCAACAGGGCCATGGCAGGACCCTGAGGAGGCCAAACACACTGTGATTGTCTTGGCCTTTTCGGGATTCCAACGGCCCAGGACGGCCCAAGAGGCCCCCAAGATCGTCCCGAGAGGATCCCAGCGGCCCTGAAGAGGGCTCCAATGCGCCCCAAGAGGGTTACCTGACGGCCCCAGAGGGCTCCAAGACAGCCCAAGAGGGCCCCCTAGAGGCTCCCAAGAGAGCCCCCAAGTGGCTCCCAAGAGGGCCCCAAGAGGCCACAAGGAACGGCCCACGACAGCAAACGCCCCCCCCAGACGCCCCAAGACGGCCCCAGCGGGCCCAAGGACGACCCAAGGGGGCCCCCAAAGGGCCCAACAGGGCCCCAGCAGGACCCTGAGGAGGCCAAGCACATTCATTTCCCTGTAGGTGTTTTGACTGTTTTGGGGATTCTCGCCTCTTCGGGCTTCCGACGCCCGTGGACGGCCCAAGAGGCCCCCAAGATCGTCACTGGATGGCCCAAGAGGGCCCCGAGGCGTCCCAAGAGGCCCCCGGGCGGCCCCGGAGGGCCGCAAGGCGGCCCAAGAGGGCCCCCAGAGGCTCCCACGAGGGCCCCAAGTGGGCCCCAAGTGGCTCTTGATGCGCACTTGGGCCCTTTTGGAGGCTTCTTGGGCCGTCTTTGGGCCATCTTTAGGGCCTTTTGGCCTTTTTGGAGGCTTCTTGGGCCTTTTGGAGGCTTCTTGGGCCTTTTGGAGGCTTCTTGGGCCGTCTTGGGTGATCTTGAGGCGACGCGTCCGTAGTCATTCTTACTCGAGTGCGAGCCACGGGCCCTGGTGGCTCGTGCTCGTGCGAAGCCAAGGGGCCGGCTCGAGTGCCCCCCCATCTTCCTGGCAACCGTTGCAGTGTTCGCGCCTGCCTGCTCGAGCTGCCAAGCCCTGCATGTTTCATTCGGTGAGCTCGTTGTGGAGCAGATTTAGGATTAGGATAAGCCGTTTTCCAAGGCTACCCGCAGTCGATGACCGTACAGTCAACCCGCATAGTAAGGATTAGCCGTTTTCCAAGGCTACCCTTGCATGCTTGCCTCTTCGGCCCATCCTCAGCGACTTTCGCTGGCCAGCCTCTTTCGAAAACCTCAGCGTGGCCGTCCAAGGCCCTTGCATCAGGGGGGGAGGAGGAGGGGGATGGGGCGAAGAGAAGGGGCATGGGGGGGGTGCAGGATGAGGAGGAGAAGGAGGAGGAGGAGGAGGAGGAGGAGGAGGAGGAGGGAGGAGGAGGGAGGAGGAGGGGGAGGAGGAGGAGGAGGAGGAGGAGGAGGAGGAGGAGGTATCGGGTGGAGGTGCAGACGTGGCCCCGCGGGCCGAAGCAGCCTTTCTCTGGTCGTGCCAGCAGCGCGGCCTCGCGCCCAGCTGGGCCTGCGGGCTGCGCTGCGGGTGCGACGCAGCCGCGCCCACCGCAGTTCGGCAGAGGAGGAGGAGGAGGAGGAGGAGGAGGAGGAGGAGGAGGAGGAGGAGGGAGGAGGAGGGAGGAGGAGGAGGAGGAGGAGGAGGAGGAGGAGGAGGAGGAGGTATCCGCGGATGGAGGTGCAGACGTGGCCCCGCGGGCCGAAGCAGCCTTTCTCTGGTCGTGCCAGCAGCGCGGCCTCGCGCCCAGCTGGGCCTGCGGGCAGCGCTGCGGGTGCGACGCAGCCGCGCCCACCGCAGTTCGGCAGAGGAGGAGGAGGAGGAGGAGGAGGAGGAGGAGGAGGAGGAGGAGGAGGAGGAGGAGGAGGAGGAGGAGGAGGAGGAGGAGCAGGAGGACAAGTCTTTCGGTCAGAAGGGTGATGCTCGTGGGCCTGGCCGCTGCCGCATGTCTGCCGCTGTGTCGCGGCGTGAGGCCAAGCTGGAGCATGGTACGGTGGTGGAGCTCTCGCGGGCAGTGACGATCAAAATGGATAGGGCGACGATCTGCTTCGAACTAAGGCCACGCAGTTGGAGGGAGCTATTCGTGCCTGCAAAGGAGAGTCGGCAACCGACACACATAAGTTACTTAAGTCGCAGCTCAGAGATGTAAGTTCCAACACCGAGACTAGACACTCGGACTTCACGCAGCACAGTAATGTAGGACACGAGCTCGACCGTGCCAAAGCCAGGCTTGCTAAATGTACGGACAACGCCTGCATGAGCCGCGGCAGCGCCCAACACAACTGTGCCCATGGACGTGGGGTTCGATAGCGCTTTCGAGAACGCGGACGCAGCTGATCATTTCTGGGGGAAGCACAAGGGCGACGAGCGGGCCAGTTTGGATGCACGCATCGCAGCCAACGTCAAGAGGTCCAAACAGTGGCAGTCTTAGCATATAGAGGTCGGAGACAGCAGTGGACTGAACTACATGCGTTGAGAAGCGTGCAGCATGGCGCCAGATGAATGTTTTGCGAAGTTCCAGGCGTTACACGAGTGATGATGCATCTCTTTGCGCCGGTTGCTTTGGCCTGAGCGGGATGGGGGTCTGAGAGAGTGCGCGTTGCACCGACTCTGCTATGCGCGGGATTTAAGCTGTCGGCTCATGGTGTTGTTGCTGGTAGGAGCAGCGGCCATACTTGAATAATGCGATGCCCTTTTCCGCGTTTTTGAATGTCGAACGGTACGCTGGGGACAGCGGCCCTACTGTTCTAGTGCTACTCTCTGAATGTTGCGGGGGCGCACTTAAGAAGAGGTTAGCTTCAACTGCGTCCCGAGTGGTTCTTGCCCAAGAAACAGGAGTCGGTGGTGAGACGTTCGGAGCTCGAGCCAGCGCGGCCACAAGTTTGGGATGGAATCTGCTGTGCTCGCCCTCGATTGCACGTGGCAGCGGCCGCTGCTCGTCTGGAGGTGCAAACTTTGCCTGCGTCGCGATAGGGCTCAGATGGCCTGGGCGCGTACCGTGCGGCGTTGTTGTACTTCGGAGGCTCATTTTCGGCGCGGTTAACCTCTTGGGCTGGCCGCCCGTATTGCTTGTTTGCGCCCATCTCTACTTTGGGGAAGGACTTAGCATCGGGAATAGGTATATCCTCAGGAAGGCGGGGGAGGAGGTGGAAGGCAGGCGCTTCGCCCGCCTCGGCGCGGTCTGGAACGTTGGTTCCGCTTGCCTAGAGACGTCTGCGAAGCCGCGTAGAGCGCCCGTGCTTGCGCTCCAGCCCCGCGCGGGGACTTGCTCCGCGCCGCAGGCCGACGCCGCGATCGACCATTTTGGCTTCGGCAGCCTTCGTCAAGTTAGTGCAGGGTGCAACGGTCGACAGCCCTTGGGCCGAGCGGCCTCGCCGACCAGTTCAGCTCCAATTCGAGCCAAGGGTTGTCAAGGTGCTCTATGTAGTCTATGCTCGTCACAGGAGGCCCCCATGCGGACCTCTTGCGGGCCCGCGCCCCTGGGCTGGTCTGCGCCGAGAGCGTGCGCCGAGAGGGCGAACCTCGCTGCGGGCTCCCAAACTGTTGCCACCGCGCGGGGAGTGCCGGACGAAGGTCGGACGGTTTTCTCGGGCGTGATGGAGTTGGAGTTGGAGTGGCGCTCGGGCGCCTTCAATTAGGAAGAACGGGGGTCAGGGCTTGCAGCTCGCGCCCCATGGCACCCCCGCCCCGGCCCGAAGAAAGCCCGGGCTGCAGATGATGTCTGTATCTGGGAGGGGCGGGCCTGGCTCCAGCAGGGGGTGAAAGAGGTCTTCGCGGCACCCGTCTGCGCATCGTTGTGCAGATGGCTTGCGTGGTTGATCGGGCCGACGCCCAGGCTGCTGTCGATGCAATCAGCATCGCCTCCCAACCCATCGAGGCGGATGGGCCCTCGCCTAGGTTTGACTGCGACGTGGCCAAGGCCAGACAGATCGCGGCCGAGTGGCCGAAACATCTCATTGGCCTCGCCGACCGGGCTGACAGCTGCGCCGAGACTCTGTCTCTGGAGGAGCGGGTGGAGGGGGGATTTCGCGGAGGCGATGGGGAGGTCTTCGTGATGGGGAGGAGCGCAGATGGTGGGGTGAGCGTTGAGCTGAAGCTTTGGCGGGCTCGGCTCGCAAAGTGCGTCGTCTCGCCCGGCTTGGATAATCGGGGGCCTGCGGTTGCTGGCAAGGCCCCTGGGGCCTTTCCTTCTGGCCTCAGGGTTGTCCTGGCTGAGGGGGCTGGTGCGCCTCCAGACTTGCTGCGAACGGCCTGGCGCGGAAGAGATCCGCGCGGCGGCTCGCGCCTTTTCGCCTCCGCGCGCGGCGGCTCGCGCGCTGCGTGATCTCTCCTCTCGACGGCGCGCATTTCCGGCGGCCTGCGTGTTGGGCGGGCCCAGGCTTGGACGCGCTGCCTTGCCTCTGTCCGGCCGTCGAAAAGCTTGGGGCGTTCCCCGTGCAAGTCTCAGGAGAGGAACAAAACACACAGACACAGGTCATCGTCAATCCCCAGGAACTCATGGACAACCATGGGAAGTGGGGGGACAGACGCAGACCCAGAAGATGAGGGAAGATATGGGGGGCTCCTGTCACCTGTGTGCATCTGTGTGTCTCTGTGTCTGTGTGTGTATCTGTGTATGTGTGTGTGTATGTGTGTATATGTGTGTATATGTGTGTGTGTGTGTGTGTGTGTGTGTGGGGCCCTGTAGCACGTCGTGCTCGAGGCGTCCCCTGTGCTCGCGGCGCCCGCGAGGCCCCCGCGGCCCCGTCGGCCGCGGGCGGCGCCCGCGCG